AAACTTAAATTAATTTATAAGCATAATGGCAATATATAGAAATATAGAAATTGTGAATAAATCAAAATAGAATGTAAATATCCCAGTATCAGTCATTGCAACTATTGAATTAATATATCCAAATAATTTTGCCAATCGGATCTGCTTCTGAGGCTTCCGTTTCATAAAAGAGGCGTGCAAAATATCATTATGGCGATTTATTCATCATTTTAGAAATTTCACAATAAATGTTAATACCGATATATAAGAAAGCACAATTTAGGCGTTTGCATTAAAACGCAGAAAGTCTAAATTTAATATACAAACTGAATGGAAATTCTTAAGCAGCCGTCTTCTATAGACATATCAGCGCTATCAATAGTATCTTGGAATATCAATGAACTTCATAAATATTAAGCAGTGTAGATTTTAAAATCTATTGAAATATAATCTTTACTAAAGATCAACGGTCAAATTGCAGCGAAACAAGTGCAAGGCCAATATCAATTTCTTGAAAGCTGGGGTGCATTTTATTCCTGACGGTCAAAGTTAAAAATCAAGGCCGAAAAGTCAGAGTATAATTGAACGAGATGTTGTTATTAAAATAGCTTACTTAAAATTCCAAGACGCTATAGGCAAATTGTAACAAGGCTTGACAAGGCAAACACATTTTACTCTATCTCAGCCAGACGACTAACAAGTTGGATAGACTCACCTGGAAGTTGCACATGTTGCAGACCTTGTCCCAGACGGGGGTGTTAGAAACGCAGGCATTCGACTCATCCGATATAGAGCTCTTCGCTACTGAGCTAGCCTCGGCAATAGCTTCTGCTTTTTGGTTTTCACGATTTGACCGCTTATTCGCTTCTATACGTTCGTGATAACTTCGGTACCACTGCTCTAGTTCCTATTAGATGAGTGAATAAATATGAAAATGTGGTACAAACGGGAAGAAATGAAAAAAGAGTTGATATATAGGTGATAGTTAAAGAATCTTGGTGCACAAAACAAATCTACCAAACCTAGTCCCAATGAGATTAGCCAAAACAGTGACAA